CAAGTCTTTGGTGCAAGAAAGAGCAGAATGTATTGAAATAAACAGATCATGAGGGAATAGACTGTGGATAAGGTAGGAGAAAGAATGAGTGGGAGAATAAGTGGATATGATCAGGAACCCAAAACTCCAATGCCTCTAGGGGCAGGCAGGCAGAACAAATGGGTTTACAAAGCCAAAGAAAGCAACAAGGAGCCCTGAAGGCTCTGGCTGCCTGAGGTAACAAGCCCTGCACAGCTCTAGTGGACAGTACTCCTGTGAGAATTTGCGACCAAGTTGTCAAATAATCTCATTTTCCAAGAGTTAAGAAAGCCAAACTTGTACATAAATCTCTCATCCTTAAACACTGCCAAGTGATTTTTTCAAACGTATTTTACAAACAACACCTATCATTAGACCATATTCACACTAAGGGTCACCATTTTGTAACCTCAAAACCACTCATAAATGAGTGAGAATAAAATCCAACCCAGAGATGCTGTACTGGAGAAAATATTTTCTAGTCCAGAGAGAAGGGTATGATCATGGTCTTCAGCTATGAGACTATCAGAGGAAACACCACTGCCTAGTCTGAGGACCTTACTTGTGCCCAGCCGATTGTTAGGAGCAGTATCACTATGAGGCTGGTTACAAACCAATTTGCAGTTGGCACTCAAGGGGAGCAGAAGCTACTGGGGGCATGTGGAAGCCATATGAGATAGAAGAGGCCTGGACTGGCTTAATTCAAGGTCCAGCTTTGTCACTAATTTCTTATATTACCTAGGATTCACACAAAACCAGTCAGTAAAGCTTTGGAATTGATCTATTCAAGCAGTTCTTAGCATGGGCTCCATGTGTTGAAAAGAGAAGAATTCAGTGAAAGTACAGGAAAAAGTTAATGACCCACTGCTTTTTTTTCCTAAGATGATCAAAAGCCTTTATCCCACACTTAGAATAGGGTGGGACCCTAAAACATTAAGAACCATTTAGTCTGAATCACCTACTATTCCATCTGAGAATTTCTGGTGTAGCAACCTTTGCAATTGATTGTTCTATTTCAATTTACCTCTAGTGGTAAAGATTCATTGCTTTGTGAGTCACTCATAGTTAGAAAAATCACCTTATCTGTCAGGATAACTGTCTTCTAAATATCAGATGGAGAGGACAACAATCTTCCCACTTCCTAGCACAAACACAAAATTGCATGAAAACTCTTTATTGATATTTTAAAGTACTTGGTAAAGAGAAATCATTCTAAGTGATTCTTAACATGTGCTGTAATAATTTCCACTGTATTAGATCTCTAGACTAATTTTAATCTATATCATCCAAACTAAATCTGACTTAGTAACTGGTTCATCATTATTTTTAATAATGAAAATAATAATAACAAGCAATATTTGGCACTGAGGACTCTTAACAACCCTCAGAAGAAGCTGTTGAGGATGCTTCCCTGTATTAATTCTGTTTTCTCCTCCTGCCAGAGAGCTGGGCCAGTCTCCTCCCTTACTGGGATTGTCTGGACAACATCAAGACAATCCCTGAGGGGAAATGGAGGGATGTGAAAATCAATGCGGCCTCTCCTGGAATTTCTTCTGAATGTATTTACAGTGGCCAGAACCATGAGGTTACAAAGAAAGGGAAGGAGGAGCTGGTATGGAGTGGAGGAACACTCATCTGTGGGCACCCCAAGAAGGTTGCTCCAGCTGTAGACCAGTTAAATCAGTATTTTCCAATTAAAAGTCATGATTCATGGTGGTCACAACCAGCAAGTGTTTGCACAGAAATACATATGAGAATAGAGCACATCTTGCATTAGTGAGAGACAGTATTATTTTGCAAATTTTTTGCTTATGTTTGTGTATACTGTATTCTGTTTTTATTATAGGTACTGATTTAGGCCCCTAATATCCACAGGCAAACTATTTCACCATCTTGACCCCACTAATGCTAATTTCCTTCCATCTCTGATGTTATCACAGACAGACAATTGCAGGATGATGAAAAAGCAAAATAAAACAAAAGCTTGGCCATCAAAATTCAAATATTCCGGTATTACAGAATCCGTCTGATATGAAAATTGATCCTGCTGCCCCGATAGCAAGCAAATCATTTATTAATAAAGTCCAGTTCCAACTTAATGAAGTGGCTTTAACAGTTGATATTTCAATAATTACTTTGTACATTTTTAATAAAAGTGATGGGAAGCAAGTGTTGTTTCTGAATCAGAAAGATTCTTTCAAACTTCTGCAAAAAAGGAAAAATTTCCCTGAGCTTGTAAGGAATAACAGGAAGAATCAAAATATTCTTATTAAAATATTTCATGCTTCTGGATAAGATAAACTGTGACGGGTAAACTGGACAATTTCAAATATACATAATTTCTTCCAATGATAAATACTTCCTTTTGCTTATTTATATTTTAATATGATTTTTGCTTCTTATCTTCCCTTTATTGGAGTCACCTAGGCAGCACACAGGGAATCCTTGAGGGCCAATAGGAGAGATAAAAGAACCTGTATGGCTCCTTATGAAGATTTGTAGAATATATGCATGGTTAAATGTGTGTGCATTTTTATTAAAGTGCATTTGACCTAATGCTAGAGATTTAAACCAACTATCATTTTCTATTTTAAAATTAGTTAAAAATATACATAAACTATATGTACATTAGTCAGCTTTCCTATTTCTGGGAAATACCCAACACTCACAACTTAAAGGAGAGGTTTAATTTAGCTTACAGTTTTAGAGGGTTCAGTCTATATCTGGCTGGCTACAAGGCAGGAGCTTCATGGCAGAAGGGTATAGCAAAGGAAAGCTGCTTAGTTCATGGTGGCAAAGCAGAGGAGGGGATGAGCACCAGAGAGGAGCGGGCAGGGGACCAGATATAAGCCCCAAGCTCATGTCCCCATGACCTACCCAGATATACCCAGAACTGTGTTAATTCCTTAGGCAGTGAAGTTGATAATTAAGTTTAACTGTTACATCTTGTGAGCTTTCAGAATTAGACTTACGTGGAATTTTTTCCTTTTTCTTTTCTTTTGGAAATTGGCCTTTTGATTTACATAGAAATGTTTCAATGTTTAGGTAATTGCTGTTTAACTCGCTAGCTACAAACACAACAATAATTAAAGGCTCTGTAAGAATTATGAGGAAATTGGCCACTTGCCGCTATGTTGTATAAACAGAATATCTTATTTATATTGAACCATCTGCCTTACTCCCAGCAGGATAAGGTGATATGTCTTGCCCAGCACATAAGAAAGATAAAAATTTGGAATTGTTACCATATTATTGGAGCCTTTCCCAAATATCCATTACCTTTGGGAATAGGTACAAGATACAGACTTACTTTGATGGATTCCTTTCATATTAGGATCAAGGTTTCAAAAGAGAAAGTAAGAATGGAGAGAAAATCTGGCACAAAGAGACCAACTCCTGCTTAGAGAAATGCCTAAATTTAATGTACCCACTCGCCCTGTTCTCCTCTGTAGACACTCAGCCTGTCCTTCCTTTCACTCCTCATGGGGGAGACAAGGTCTGTGTCTGTTCCCAGCAGCCTGCCCATCTCAGCAGTATTTTGCAAGCGCAGAGTTAGAATTGTTCAGTATATGGATTTGATATTGTCTGCATGACGGCAACAGGCAGTGAAAGTTAGACGATGTCACTTTCCTCATTTCTGGGACACAATACCCAAGACCCACCACTTAAAGGAGAAAAAGTTTATTTTGGCTCACAGTTTATAAAGGTTTCAGTCTTTAGCCAGCTAGCTCCAAGGCAGGGCATCAGGGCAGGGCAGCATGGCCGAGGAGAGACAGCTCATTCCATGGCAGCAGGAAGCAGAGAGAGGGATCAAGACAGTCTTCCAGGCCATACTCTCACTGACCACCTCCTCCAACCAGGCCCCATCTCCCAAATCACATTTAGCTATAAACTCTGGACTAATCCACTCCTGAGCATCATGCCCCCCAAGACCCAGTCACCTCCCCAAAGCCTCGCCTATGAATGCATGATGTTTTAGGAGGACATCTAGATATAAACCATAACAGATGGCAATTTATTCTTGATTAGAATAAATTTACAGAAAACATTCTGGTAGGGTCCAAAGGAAAGCACTCACTTATCCCTTTGTGATGATAAAACATGAAACACACCACTGATTTGTGAACTTTGTGATCCTTGGATGGGAGTTGGGTAGGTTTCTTGCTTAAATTGACAGATATATTCTAAACAATTTTGCAACATCACATTGTAGTGCATATGAGAGAGACACAGTTAAACTACTGTTTCCACCTGTTTCTACAGCCCTCCAAATGCCTTTAAAGCTTTTACTTATACAAAGCAGCCCCCAGTGACGTCATTTTCCTAGTATTTAAAGACATCCAGACGATGTTATAAATAATACACTGTAAAATTCATTGAGATTTTTGTTTGATTTGTGGTACTGGGAATTGAACCCAAGGCCTTGTGCATGCTAGACAAGTGGTATACCACCGAGCTATATCCCCAGGCCACCATTCAGATTTTTAAAGTTAGTATTTAACATGGCATAATTTGAACTTTTTACTAAGTCATTCTAACCATTCCCTAGTTAGCCTACATGATGAGAGTTTACTACTTTTCATAGATTTGCTCTCCTTTGATGTTTTGAGGATCTTTCTCATTCTGCTCACTTACCTATGTTTGCATATTTAGGAGGTTCAGTGGGAAATAATTTGAACATGCAAAGAGGATGTTTAGAAAGAAAAAATGTTTTCATATGGATGTATTTTGAGCACTTCTGCACACATCTCAGATGGTGACACTTCCCTCTTTGGGTGTCTGTCATAACTAGAGTAACAGAGTAGACAGATCTCAAGACAGAGACCGGGCAGGGGAGAGTCCAAGGCAAAAGGTCATCTGCGGTGTGGCCCCAACCCAACACCCTGTGTCGTAGATCATGACACCACTTCTTTTATAGCCCAGACTGTGGTCTGGCCAGAGCGCCCAAGGTCACACTCCAATGCCATCTGCTCTGGTTCCAGATAAGATTGAAGATGAGCTGGAGATGACCATGGTTTGCCACCGACCTGAGGGACTGGAGCAACTTGAGGCCCAGACCAACTTCACCAAGAGAGAGCTGCAAGTCCTTTACCGTGGCTTCAAAAATGTAAGACCCAGGGCCGGGGATTTAGCTCAGTGGTTTCGCTGCCTGCTGCACAAGCACAAGGACCCGAGTTCAATCCCTGGTACCAAAAAAAAAAAAAAAACCCCAATAAACAAAAAAATGTAAGACCCTCGTAAGCTCTCACACCAGTGGGATTTCCCACAGGGAGCAAAACTCTCCCAAATGCAAAGGGAGTTCCTAAAGAAGCTTCCCATCTATGTAGTTATACAAGGGAGGCCAGCTGTGTAAAGGGGACCTGAGAGCAAGATCACCTGGTGAGAAACAGGGCTCCAGGCCAAGGACGAGGCCTCTTGGTGCACAGAAAATTGGCCCGCTGCACAGAACCTGCACAGGATGGTGTGACTTTGGAGAATTTTCCCTGGTGCAGGAGCCAGCCTGAACTTAACACATGCGTACTTTCCATCATGATGGTGTCTCCAAAATGATAAGATTCATCTCTACTAACTTGATCACATAGTATGATGTGTAAGCCTGAATGGTCACTGTATTCATTTACCATAAAAGTAGAACAGCAAGGCCAGACACCCCTCCTCTTGCTGGGACCTTCTTTCTGTATATTACATAGGCAGCCAAGTTGAACTCCAGGTGGACTCAGAGAACCGGGGGTTAGTAGTTGCTTCATATCCATGAATACATCTCTGCCTTCTCAGACCTCTGTGAACTCTCAGATGTTGAATTTTTTAAGTTTAAATCTCATAACACAATTGTATTCCACAATACTAGGGTGGATGTGTGGGACAGAGAGAGGTGCTTCTGGTTACACTCCTTCTAATTACAACCTATAGGTCAATTCCAAATTGTTTGGTCAATTCCAAATTGATCATGGACTCTATTTCCCAAGGTGCAGGCTGATCGAGATTCATGTACATCCTGGAAGTCATCTGACAAACTCTGGGATGTGTCTGCCTTCTCCCATAGCCTCAGCCATGCCTTTCATGTGCCTGGCTTGATACTGTTAGGGCTTCTTTCCTTCTGATCCTGAAGAGGCAGTGATAGCAGTGGGCAGCTGGATGGGAGCAGGGCCCTGTGGGAAGGTTGCCCTTGGGCACTGGGCTGAGAGGAAACAGCACCCAGAAAAGAGATGAACTCAACATTGCTTGGCATTTGCCGTGAGCTTGGCACCACATAACAGTGATTCATATATTCCTGTTACCCTTGCTGGGAAGGTACTCTGAGCCCCATTCTACAGTAAGGATACTGAGGATCAGAAACTGACTTGGCTGACGTCACAAAGCTTAGAAGTGGCTTACCCAGGATCTTCTAATCTTAAATCCCAAATTCTTTCCAGCTCACAGTGTCCTTCTCCGCTGACATCTCACCATGTGACTAAGCAGTTTGAGCCCTATTGTGGGGTCACCTCCCAGACACCCACCTTGGAGACACAGAAATGCACAGGTTCTTCCCCAGTCCCTGTCCACCAAGGATCACAAGAAGCCTTAGACCCAAAACTGGGCCCTGTCCACAACCCGACCCCATGTGGGGCCCCCAACACATCCTACTGACTCTCTCTCCCCTCCCATAGGAGTGTCCCAGTGGTGCAGTCAATGAAGAAACATTCAAGCAGATCTACGCTCAGTTTTTCCCTCATGGAGGTAAGTCAGACTGAAAAAGATCCTCACAGCTCTCTCTAGCGAGCAGCCTTCCCTTCCTCCAAGTACACTCTTCCTTGTTATCTGCCTCCTCTTCAAGTTAGAGGGAGAACTCACAGCAAGAGACCTCCCTTATTATAAGTTGTGGAATTCTCTAAAGCTTTAGCAGAAAAAAGCTATGAAAATGGGGCCACTTGAGAAGGAAAGAAAGATTGATAATGCAATATTACAAAGTCTCATAAAACTTCTAGAAAGCAAGTATTACGATCCCAGAAGAAACAGCTGAGTTTCAGAGACATTAAACAACTTACTTGAAATCACACAGCTAGCACAGGGCAGACTAAGATAGATCCAATAAGTGTCCTGGGCATAGCTTTGCCACACTGGCTCCTCCGTTGTGCCAGACGCTTTCCATTCTTTGCCTTAAAAGAGCTGAGACAAGCTGAAATGTTGAAAAAGAACTTCAGCAAATGCTAGAGACTATAAAATAAATCCAAAAAGATGTAAGAAGCATGAAGCTGTGCTTACAAGGACAGGCTAGCAAGTGGGCCAAGCCTACAGCACCTGCTCTGCTGCCTGCCTGACTCCTGTGGGAATCAACTCTGGCCCCGTGGGCTGTGGACCACGCCAGTGACTTCTCCTGTGACCTCCAGGTATTACATGTCACCTTGTATCTTGTCCCCAGGAGTTGTCTCCTGCCAAACTCCTTCCTTGGGTCCTAAAGTTCCAAGTGTCCCAAGCACTTCTCAGGGCCTGTTTAACATGGACCTCTTCAGCAGCAGACAGGTGCATCCCTGGGTGTGGTTTCCTGCTCCAGTTAGGAGAAGCAGCTTTGTCTCATGCAGGTGCCAGAATTACAGTTTACTGAGTTCTGTTGAGCCACTCCTTAGTGAATTTTCACTATGTGGCAGGCATGGCCCTAACACACTTCTTCAAAAATTTCAAGACATAGGTCTTGCTGCATTACACCATACAGAAATGGAAAGGGAAGCTCAGAGAGGTTGCATTCGATGCCTATAGGCATACAGCTGAGATCCAAGCTCAGGTCTCTCCTCCTGAGTAAGTGCTCATGCTCAGAGAATCTTCACGAAGTCATCACGTCACTCATCCTCAGAGAACACAGACATACATATACAGGTAGGATAGCCATTCTCTCCAGATGGCTACATGCAGGGCAAGAGCCCATCTTGCCTCTTGCTAGAAATCACTTCCCACCTAAACCCCAGGGGTTGAGTAACCCAAGGGATCTCCATAATTGTCTCCTTTCTCTAACCCTCTTCTCTTTCTGGCCCAAACCCTGCCCCTGTTTTTAAGTCATCTCTCTCCCCAGTGTGGGACCTCGGCAACACTCACCTGTCCTGCCCTTTCTGCCTTACAGATGCCAGCACCTATGCCCATTACCTCTTCAATGCCTTCGACACCACCCAGACAGGCTCTGTGAAGTTCGAGGTAGGCCATCTCCTAGGTCTGCTCTGGGAGTCCCCTGGTTCCACATTGCCTCTGCCTCTGAATTTCAGGGTCCTAGGGGAAGGGTTGTATCCTCTTGGTCATGACAAAGAGACTTTATCCGTTTAATAAACACTTTCTGATGATAAAGAGAAGAAGCAACTTGCTCTGCCCTCCAAGCACTTGGGGACTCAGGGGACTAAATATGAGCAGGGTTCACTTGTGCACGGCCTACCAGGAGGCAGCATCTGGACATAGTAGTTTGCATTTATTAACTCATTTAATCTTCATAATAACCCCATAAGGTAGAGCTGCATTATTTATTACCATTTTACAGGAGTGGAAAGTAAGGCAAAGAGAGACTGAGTAACTTTCACAAGGCCAAAGAGCTAGCAAGTGGTCAAGGCATGATTTGAATGCAGGCAGTGTATTTTTGTAGCCACCAGAATATATGGCCATGCCTATGATAAACAAAGTATTGCAGCCTTGGGACTAAGAAGTAGCAGAGGAGGCTGTACTTAACTATGTCTGGCGGCGTCTGCACACCCAGAGCTCCATTCTTCTTCAAGGGTGCACTTTCTTTCGAAATGGGGCAGTGTAGGCCACAGAAAGCAGGAGCTTTCCATTGAGCTTGGCCATACCCTTTAGGCAGACAAGAGGAATGGGAGACACTGTTCTGCAAAAGCACCAGAGAGTATAACCCAAAGACCTAGCTTCTTCCCACCCAACAGCTTAGCAAATAATGTCACTCCTGCTTTTTCTACTTCTTAGGATTTTGTAACTGCTCTGTCGATTTTACTGAGAGGAACAGTCCATGAGAAACTAAGGTGGACATTTAATTTGTATGATATCAATAAAGATGGATACATAAACAAAGAGGTAAGTAGGCTGGGACCAGAGGTATAAGACAGGTACAATGAATTTAAAAAAAAAAAAAGTCATGACATAAAATTGTCTGAATGAGACAGGATCCGCTTTGGAGCTGTCAGAGGCGGTCTCTGACAAAATGAAAAAAACCACCTTTGACCTCCCTCTATTCCCCATCCTGTCCCAACCTAGGTGCTCGGGAAAAGATCAAGCAGCTTCCTTCTCACTGGGTCACACAGATTCAATGCATACTACACATGTACTATAAATGACTTATTTTAGTTTAAAGAGCTACTTCCCCCTAGGGAGCCTATCTTTTTGTCGGATTTACAACCATAAGTTAGAGCTCAAAGTAGGAATGATGGATCTGCAGGCAGCATCTACAAGAGAAGAGGGATTTTTCATGAAAAGGAGACTACAACTGAATGTCATTGGCCACAACCTATTTTGTCTACTAATAAAACCAGGAGAAGATAGAAAATGCAGTTGTCTTTAAAGAAATCATCCCAAACAATTTCAGACTCTTCACTGTTTGGCCTTTTTACAGGTTCAGTACATGTCTTTAGCCTGTGAAATTCCAATAGACCTATCTTTATACTCTCCATGATGTCTACTTTATCCTCCTGTCTCTTTTGAAGCTTTAACTTAGCATCCTTGACATCCCTCTTACTGAGCTCCTATGTGCCAGGCACAGGGACTAAAAGTATGAATATAATCTGTAGCCTTCACCTCATCCCTGCAAGCCTCTTCCTTACAGAGAGAAAACTAACACTCAGAGAGCTTCCTCAGCTATTCCTCATTCATTCAATTATGTGTTGACTCCACACAGGTCTGAGGCCTGATTAGGTGTTCCTAGTGCTAGAGATAAAGACACTTCTTTAGTGTCTAACAGTCAGACTCGGCCTCACTTTCAAGGAGCAGTGTAGAGGGATATACAATAACTAGGCAAAATGTAGATCAGCAGGTAAAGGATGTTTTGATGGAGATGGTCAAAAACCCTTTCTGAGAAGGTGATGCCAAACCAGGAGCAGGCATACAAAAATCCAGGAAAAGTGTTAGAACAGTGAATAGAGAGGCTGCAAGGCTAGGATATATCTTCACATGTTCCAGAACAGAAAGGCTCACTGTTGGCTGCAGACAGGGGTGTGAGAGAGAATATTGGCTCAAGATGAAGCCAACAAACCAGCAGAGTTGAATAATGGAGGACTAGCTAGAGGGCCCACCCATACCCATTGGGAAACTTCTAGCTGGAAATATTTTTTGATAAGCACTAAGTATTAAACTGGCTTCAAGGAGAATTAGAAAATCTGAATGGCTGTATCTCATTTAGAGAAACTGGATTCACAATTAAAAATCTTTCCACAAGGAAGTTTAGACCCCTCAGATGGCTTCCTGGTAAGGAGTCTACAAAAATAACAAATACATACTACAAAGAATAAGTGAATTTAACAAGTAACAGGATGTGAGGTCTAGTTACAAAAGTCATTTGTGTTTCTACATACAATTGGAAATTTAAATGAGATTAAGTTCCACTTATAATAGCATCAAAATACACAAAATATTTTGTGATAAATTCAACAAAATTTATGCACTGAAAACTACAAAATGTTGCTAAGAGGACATAAAGACCTAAATAAAAAGAGAAGGACATCATGCTTATGAGTTGGAATACCCAATATAGTTGAAAGATAGATTCTCCCAAATTTGATTTATAGATTCACTGCAGTCTCAACCAAAATCCCAGCAAGCATTTTGGAGAAATTGATAAATTGGCTTAAAGTGTATATAGAAACAAAGAACTAAAAAATAAACACAATAAGCAAAACAGAACAAAATTAGAGTAACTTATTCCAAGACAATATAAAAATATGATCATCAATATAGCAGAGAATTGGCATAAGGATGGACATATAGATTAACAGACTAAAAATCAAAGTGTAGAAATAGACCCACCCACATTCTATCACCTCAAAAAAAGACACCAAAGAAATCCAAGGGAAAGGAACAGTGGTTTTACTAAATGGTGCTGTAACAATGGTGAATCCTTTTGAAAACAGAAATGCACCTTAACCTTTATTTTATGCTGAACCCAAAAATCAACTTGAAATGGACATATGCTTAAGTATAAAAACAAAAGCTGTCTTATTAAAGAATATACAGAAGAATCATCCTCACAACTTTGTGGTAGGAAAGGTTATCTTAAAGGACATATAAAGAAGGAATCTTAAGAGAAAAATCAATAAATTTGACTTAATCAAATTTAAAATTTCTATTCCTCCAAAGACTTTGTTAAGAAAATGGAAAATCAAGCTATAGGCTCAGAAAAAAAGTTTGCAAATCATATATCTGACAAAAGACTGATATCCAAAGTATATAATGAATGCTTACAATTTAATAAGAAGATAAAGAACATAATTGAAAATAGAAAACAGAGCTGAGCCAATACTCAGAAAAGAAAATAAGTGAAAGGTCAATAAGCCCATGAAAAATTGCCCCATATCTCTGGTCTTCAAAGAAATACAAACTATAACTACAATGAAATACAACTATGTACCCACTGGAATGGCTACAATTAAAAAGATTCACAATACCAAATGTTGGCAAGGATGTGGGGCAATCAACATTCTCATACTTTGCTGATGAAAATATAAAATGGTATAAACACTTTAGAAAACATCTAAAAATCTTTGAAAAGTTCAACATGCAATTAACTTATGACCCAGAGATCCTGCTTCTAGACATTTACCCAAGTGAAATTAAATTATATAATTCCATAAACACCTGTACAGAGATGTTCATTGCAGCTTCATTCATAGTTGCTGCCAAACTGCAAACAACCCAAATAACTACCAATGGAACAATGAATAAACACATTGTAATATACCCATTTAGTGGGTTATTACTCGGCAGTTAAAAGAAATAAATTACTGGGCCAGGGATTTAGCTCAGTGGTTCCGGCGCCTGCTTCCCAAGCACAACGTCCCGAGTTTGATCTCCAGTACCAAAATAAATAAATAAATAAATAAATAGATAAATAGATTACTGTTGCATGCAACATGCACAAGAATCTCATCAACATCCTCAGTGAATAAAGACAGACTCAGAGTTTATACAGTATTGATTCCATTTTATAAAGTTCTAGAAAATATATACCAATCTTTAGTGGCAGGAATCTCATCAGCTCTTGCTTTATTCTGAAGGTTAGCAGATACTGTGAAGGAACATCAAGGAACTTCTAGTGGTGATAAAAACACTCCATATCTTGAGTGTGCTGTTTTAAATACATTGTGCTTGATAAATTTGACTTCTTAAAAAAGTTTGTTGTAAGGTAGAAATACCTAATCAACCAAAAAAATGTGTTGAATGAAAATAAAATCCTTGTCAAAACAGAAAAAGAAGAAAGTGACCATCCAATCTCATTTAAAATATAGTCACAAATTGTAAATGAAATAGTAGGAAATTAATTCTAACACCCTATTGAAAGAAATGCACATGAGTAGGATAAGGTTTATTGAAGGAATAATTCAATACCAGAGAAAGTCTATTAAATAATTTATCATAACAATATATTAAACCATATAATGCTGAAATCACATTCAGTAAAATGTGCCATCTATTCTTGATAATATTTTAAAACTCTTAATAAATTAAGAATAAAATACATCTTTATCACAATAGAAAATACTCCACCCTTATACACAGTCTCATACTTTCTTCTCACAGCAAGAATAAGACAAAAATGCACACTACTCACCCATATTATTATTTAACATTAATGAAAGTTCTTCCAATACAAGAAGACATAAAGAAAAATGACTGATGTATAAACAGGGGAAATTGTAAAATTCTTTGTTAAATGACATAATTTTCTATCTGGAAAAATAAAGACAAGAAAATCAACTTAAAACAATTAGAGCCTTAAAAAACTATAGTTAATAGTAAAATACATATACAAGAAGAAGTTGATTGGCCTGTATATCAGTTATGACTATTTAGAAAACTGTAACAAAGACATTCTGATTACAATAATGGTAAAATTTAGAGCACAGGGAGATTTTTAAATATGTATAATTTAGATGAAGATAAAGTTTTCTGGCAAATACATAAAAAAGACTTGGCTAAGTAGAGAGCCATACCATTATCTGAAGAGGGGTGCATTATAAAGGTAACAATATTGAAAATATAGTAATTACTCTCTAACATTTTTATTTCTAATCAAAAGGAAAGTGTCATTTAGGGAAGAAATTGGCACAATTTGTATAAAGTCACATTGAAAGAATAATCAGATGAGAATAGCAGAGATGCAAAGAAGTAAAATAGTGGGACTTACTCTATTAAATAATGAAATATATCATAAAACTGAAATCATTAAAACATTATGGTAGGGTTGGCAATGTAGCTCAGTGGTAGAGAGTTTGTCTACCATGAGTGAAGCACTTGGTTTGATCTCCCACATTACAAAAAAACAACAAGCAAAAGAAAGGAATACAAAATGAAACAGAATAGAAAATGCAGGTACAAATAATAATTTGGTTTATAATAAAAGGAGCATCCAGAATAGAGAATAAAGAAATAATGAATAATCAAGCAAATGGCTCTGGGAAAACTCTTAGAAATAAATAAATAAACATTTTCATTTAATACCCTATATCCAAATTAATCATCAATATACACAGTTGATTTGGGCTATAGAAGAACTAGAAGTCATACATAAACATCTGATCTTAGAATAAAAACAGTGTAAAACCAAAGTTAGAAATAATAAAAGTATTGATGACTTCACTCTGTAAATATTTTTAAATTCTGTGCATCAATAAAACACCATAAACAAAGTTGAAAGCAAGTGACAAACTAGTTAAAAATATTTGCAAGTTATAATCCTAGAAACAGCTAGTATTCCTCAGTAGACAATCATCATAACAAAAGGAAGTATCATATTAGTCTTGCTTTTCTTTGCTTTTCCTTGACACAGTATCTAGCATATGTAGATATTTAAAAATACCTTCTAAATAAATTAATAAATTCCCAGAGCATATAAATAGCTCACATAATCCATTTAGAGATATGTAAACACAATGAACAGAGTACATAAACAAATGGTTTATGGGAAATGAAATAAAATAATCAATTCATATATTTTATACCTCATTAAGAAAGTAGAACATATTAAAATAACAATGAAAAGTATTAATTGATCAAAGAATAGGGATTTAAAAATAGTAAATTGCCATTTAAAAATCATGGAAGATTAATAATGACTTGAAAATTAGAATACATTGCATTTTTAAAATCACTACATAAAGTAGTATGTATGGTATTTTCTCAATTTTATAAACAATTACATGTTTGTATACATACTCAAACATATGACACTCTAAAATATTCAAATATTACTTTACAAAATATATAAAGAAATGAACCTAAAGTGCAATTTACAGTATCTGGTCTTTAACCTTATTTTAACAGTTATCGCAATGCATCATTGAACAATCTCACTTCTAAATTTGCAAACCTGACAAAATTGTCCCCATTAATATCCATCAGAGGTCTCTGTGTGGCAGAATTAATAAAGTGCCTTTTAAAAGAAAAAGAGAGTTAAAACTTCCTGGAAAGGACAGCTGCCTCTCTCTAGCAGTCATTTGGAGATAGCCTCGTTAAAGTTATTATAGTAATGCAAATCCTGAGAGCAATCAAAATTAGTCTTTATATCCTTTCTTTGATGAAAAAGTACTGAAGCCATAAAGAAGCCAATGCCCATGTGGATGTGAAGGAATTGTAAATCATACATTTTTAAATAAAGATGTGGATACAAGCATGTATTTCCTAGATCTGTCTAATAAGGGGTCCCTGGAGCAATCTCCCACTGTAACAATAAGCACACCTTGCAATCAGACTCGTGGTTTTGAAACACTATTCTTCCATACAAGATATCAATATCTTTGGAAAAGTGGTTGGTTCTAGGACTGTGAGAGAGAAAATACAAGATCGCCCTGGATGGGCACATGTCAAAAAGCCACAGGAGTTCCAATAGCCAAAGCCTGAAGGACTAAGAATAGCAAAATTTACAGTGATTTAAGCAACAAAACAATAGGGATAGCAACTTTTCAATTGCTGAATTTATATGAAATATCACAGGGAGATTCTGATCTTAATTCCCCTCGAAAATTAACTCCAGAGGCACAAAAGGAGTTATAATTAATAGAACAAAGAATACATAACTGGCAGGTTTTTCTTATCAACTCTTAACTATCCAGTTCATTTGTTTATGCTTAACACCCCTACAGGTTTAATAGGACAGTGGCAAATGATTTTTCCCTAAAATTATGTAGCATTGCTCCTGACACAAAACAAAAAGTGATAATATTGGATTGTCTTCGAAAAAATATAGTAAATATCCATGATCCCATATTGATATAATAAATAACTGAATGCATAAATAAATGGGGGAAGGAGTTAGCTCTTTCTTGCAGAAGAATTCCAAATAATACATATAGAAGTAATAAAGAGAATACAAAATCATCGTCAGACAAACACCACAGTAATAATTTTTGCAGGTGAGATCCACTTACAGAAACTAAAGTCAGTGGAGAAACTTGACAAACACCACCTTAATCAAGTGATCAAGGTTAACATCACCAGTGATAACACAAGCAACACCACATACCTGCCTGATGACACACTAGGGAAGCTGTAACATCCCTTCTGTGGAATTCATACCAGAAAGGCATAACTTTGATCTAATCATAAGAAAACCAGGCACTATCCCAACTGGAGAGACATTTTATAAAATAACTGGTCAGTAGTCACATCAAGTGTCAAAGTCCTAAGGAGATGAAAAACAGAACTCAATGCAATGTGAAAAAAAGATGCAGGGTTGGGGGTGGAGCTGATGAAATTTAAGTCTATAGTTTAGTAAATATTGTAACAATGTTAATTTCCTGCCTTTGATCATTTTGCTCTGGTTTTCTCTGCAAAGTTGTTAATAGTAAGGGAAACAGGCTGAAAGCTGTATGTGAACACTCTATATTTTTGTAACTTTTCTTTATGTCTAAAATAACAGGTTGTTTAAAACCCTTCAAATGCCCTATGGATAATCCTGGCTGTTGGTTCCTTTTTCTTAATTTAAAACAGCAATAGAATCTGTGAAAAAAAAATGTTAAATGTGCACAGCATCAGCTTCTCTTTAATTTAGAATATTTCATTTTTACCAATCTTGTGAATGTGAAATCTCACATCACCCCTCACTAAGGACAATATCAAAGCAGAGGTAACCTCTCAAGAGCTTCTGAAGACAAGGAGAATTTTCTACTGTCTTCTCTTTAGGAGGAAGCTGCCAGGTTATAGCTCCTTCCACTTGCTTTCTAACTCCATTGTCTTCTTAAAAAGGATCTTAATCATTTTTGTAACCGAGGGGCAGAGGAACCCTAAAGTCTATCAACTAAAAAGAGCTTGACCTCATGGTTCCCACATTGTGTGCTCCAATGTTCCCTCCACAGGAAATGATGGACATTGTCAAAGCCATCTATGATATGATGGGGAAATACACATATCCTGTGCTCAAAGAGGATACTCCAAGGCAGCACGTGGATGTTTTCTTCCAGGTAAGTGCACTCATCTGCACACAAGCTTTTGCCCCGCTTAGATGAACCAACCATGACATCTCAGCAAGTGGTTTGTGTTCAACCCTGTTCTAAAGCTTATAGGAAACAGAAAAGACTTACAAGGTATATTGTTCCCAATGAGTAGATGACCATGTGAACCAGGTAATTATACACTACCACACAAAGTATATTATTTATTATAACCTATGTAAGACAGCTATAAGTTCTATAAAAATTTTTGAGGGATCCAAATAAACTGAGAAGCCTTCATTAATCACTTTGTGTAAGTGTGGAGTATTTGTGACTGGGGAGTAAGGGAAATAAAATTGGAAAGTAGGATAAGGACAGATTACACAATCTTTAGATGGAAGGGTTTAGGCTTGCTCTGGCAAAGGAGAAGTGGCTACTGTGGATCCTTGAGTCGGGGAGTGATGTCATCATAGCAGCAATTTAGTGAAAAGTTAAACTACCAGTCAGATCTTGTTACTGTGTAGTCAAATCTTCCCACATTGCAAATGGGAAAACAGAGGTCTCTCTGACCTCCCCAAAGCTCACACAGTAAGAAACAGAGAGAGAGAATGGGCACCTCCCAGTCAGTGTCCTTCCTGCTAGATGGACAGTGTAGCAGAAAGTTTAGGGAAGACCTATGCTATGGCTTAGAAATGGTTTCAGTGTGTCCCCTGAGGATTCATGTCCTGGAGGCTTGGTCCTCAGTGTGGCAGTGTTAAAGGTGGTGGAACCTTTGGTGGGTGAGGCCTGGTAGAAGGTAATTGGGTCATTGGGAGCATAACCTCAGAAGGAATTAATGCTGTAGTCCTCATGAGCATGAATTATTGTAGAAAGAGCAAGACTGGCCCTTCTGACTCTGGTTTCCATGTGATCTTAGCCTCATGCACTCCCACCATTCTGATGCTATCTTCCATGATGTGCTCACCAGAGCCAAGCAGAAGCCAGCATCAAGCTCATGAGTCTCCATAACTGTGAGCTAAACAAACATACTTTCTTTGTGAAGTCCTCAGCCTCAGGTATTTTGTTATAGCAACAGAAAACCAACTAATACAACTAATACAACTTGTGAAGATGTCAGAGTAATATAGCAATGAGATGATCTGCAGCTAACCTTTTGATTTAAGGAAGCTCATCAGGGTCAACATGCTGTAACTAGGGCCCAACAGTAGTTGTCTGGCCAGTAAAAAGCCACTAATTTTCACAGCAAAATTGGTTAACAAAAAGCCAATTTGGGGATGCAAATTACAAGGTTTTTTAAAGTGCTCTCTGTTGTGTCTTTCAGAAAATGGACAAAAATAAGGATGGCATTGTGACTTTAGATGAATTTCTTGAATCCTGTCAGGAGGTAAGAAAGAGATCTCAGGGCATAGTATCTCTAAATCTGGAAAAGAAAATCTGGGGCTTGGGAGCCTGCAGAAGGAAAGGAATGAGAAAGCGACACATAGCTGTGACCTCTCCTGTCTGCCAAAAGCCACGACACCAGCAAAAACTCAGAAGTCCAACAAACTGCACTCCTCAGCCTAGTCTGTGATTACTTGAGCAGGACTGAGCAGACAGCCCAAGCACAGGTCTGGGGGATGTGAAAACCCAGAGGGGGTCTCTGAAACTAGAGTTCCCAACTGGGAAATGCTGTCATTTTTCAACCTAGTTCTGTCTTTGTGACCTGCTCCCAGCCTACAAGGAAGCCGCTGGGGAAAAAAAAATCTATAATTGTGATTCTCAAACTATAGTGTACATGAAAACTGCCTGCAGTGATTCTGAAAATGTGTGTTTATTTCTAGGTCTCCATTTCAGAGACTCCAGATCTGGGGTGGGGTTTAGAATTTGTCATTATAATCCAAATGTCTTTGATCAATGCTGCAAAATTTTTAATATGCAAACAAGACTTCTTGAATATCTTAGAATCCAGATTCTTCCTCCTGGAGTCTGGGGTGAGTTCTGAAATGCTCACCTTCTCCCAGCAGAGCCCAGTCCTTTATGATACTTTCATTAAGACGCATGAGTAGATTGATCCCAGAGCATCTGCCAGAGACCAAGCTAGAAAGAATTCCTTCATCTACTTTAGAGAAATTAATGTGTATACCTTTACCTTATTTCAGAAAGATACACAGTTACTCTGAGCTCCACCCAAAAATTGAAATGCAAAGACACAGAGAAGTTATTAACATATATTGAGCACCTACCATGGTTTGGGCATATTACATGAACATCACAACAAGCCAATGAGGTAGATGTCCTTATATACAGTATGATATTCAAAATATTTAACCACCAGAATAGACAGAACGTTGACCACTTTTAACTGTCACAGAGGATCCCTGCTAAGGTTACTAGTAGCATTTCAGTTGATGGCTATCTGGATGGTCCAGTGATCCTGGACAAGTTCCTACTTAGAAAGTTAATTAAGAAAAAAGGCTCAAGTCAGCAGCTATTCACCAGTAGGGTTGGAAATATCTTAGCATTTAATCCTTACAAACTGGAGAACAACATTGATTGCACCCATTTTCAAGGAGTGAAAACTGAAAGACATGGAACTAAGACCATAGTAAGTGAAAGAGATGGAACTTGAACTCTGTAAATCTAATTTCAAATACCATGTCCTACTAAAGTGTACTTTCTTGACTTTGCTTACCAGGTGAGAATAGTTCTTAAATCAGTTTAGTTTCTCACATTAGCAACTTCTGTAACTATATTAAGCAACTCATTTATTTTTTACAACCTAACCATAGGTCAATATTATATTCAACCTCATTTTACACATGAATAAACAAAAACTCAGAGTGATTAAATAACTTGTCCAAGGTAACAAGGTAACAAGGGAAGTGACAGATCCAACATTTGAATCCACGTTCCCTGACTCTAGAATCCATATGACTACAAGTAACAATATTTCCTTGTGCTAGTAACTTATAGATTTCAGACCCTCAGAATCGACTGTCTCGATTGATTTTTCTCTATCATGGGTCTGCTTTCTATTTCATTAATTTGTTTCCTAGATTACTTTCTTCCTTCTGTTCTTATTTTCAAAAGTCTAGCATTTTGTTCTTCCCCAGCTTTTTGAGATGAAAATTGAATCATTGATTTTAAACCACTCTTTTCTAATATATACATTTATATCAGGAGCAAATTCTCTCTGAGTACTACTTTAGCTGAGTTCTGTCTCAGATCCCACAAATTTTGATATGTCATACTTTTGCTATATTTTAACTCAAAATATGTTCTCTAATGCATGGATTTAGAAGTGTGTTGATTCAGAGTTTTCTATATTCAAGACTTATACCTTAGGTAATACATGCTAGAAAAAATATAAAATAATAGACATACAATAACAAAACCAGTAAAGCTAAGAACTCTTTTTGAAGAAAATTAATAAAATTGTTTAGAGAGAAAACTCTAATTGTCAACATCAGCAATGAAAAGTATCACATCATACAGGCTTGACATTAAACAGGTAATAGCCATTATCTAACAAGTTTGACATCTTATATGAAATTATAAATTTCTCACAAAACATAATTTATCAAAACTATAAAGGGAAAGAAAATCTAAATGTTGTAGTCTTATGTGTGTTAAAAAATATTAGATCTGTAATTTAAAGCATTCTTCCAGAAAAAAAATAGCAGGTTCAGATAGCTTCACTGGCACATTCTTCCCAACATTTGAGGGACAAATGATATTAATTTTAAACAAACTCAAGGAACAGGAAAAAGGAGAAACTTCCCAACTTGATTTATGAAGCTATCGTAACCTTAATATGGAAACTTGCAGGGTTAGTTTAACAATCAAGAATTAGTCAATGTAATTAATCACATTAATCGAATAGAAAGATAAATATGATAGTCTCTGTAGATACAGAAAAAATCATTTGACACAGTGCAATTGCACAGAGCTTCCTGAAAAACCCAGTTCACTGTTGTGCTGAATAGTTTGTTCTTCTGAATCCCTCCTTAAAACTAGAAAAGTATTTTGCATTGAGTTGATCATTTTCCAGGTTCCCCACTCCTTATTCCTTGTTTCTGACACTCTCATAAACTTCTTTCTGCTGAGGAAACCATCCTTGAGATTTGCACCCCAGAGTTACCAAACTTCTCAGGCTGCTGCTGCTGTGAAGATTCCTAACCCTCCTCTCTTTCCTTCCTCCCTTCCCAGGATGACAACATTATGAGATCTCTCCAGCTGTTCCAAAATGTCATGTAACTGGGAACCCTCGGCCCCTCAGCTCTCAGAGACATTGTACCTTAATACCTTGATCTGCCCTTGTTCTGATTTTACACACCAACTCTTGGGACAAAAACACCTTTTACACTTTGGAAGAAATCCCTGCTGAAGACTTTCTATGAAACCCAGCATCCCATGGCTCAATCTCTGATCTCCAACTCTTCCTTCTCCCTCCTCTTGAGAGAGACAAAATTTGAGTTTATTTTGGAAGCATGCCGATCTCTTCAAACTGCTGCTCTATGGAAGGTCCCTCTGCTTGAGCTTAAACAGTAGTACACAGTTTCCTGCTTATGTGCCCCCAGCCCACTGCCTCCACATGGAGCAGACTTTGATGAATTTGGAAGCCAGAGGACCTGAGCCAAATGCACACCATCCTCTGATGGCCTCCCAAACCCAATGTGCCTGTTTCCCTTCCTTTGTGGGAAGAAAGAGTGTTACACAGAACAATTAAAATCTACCATGACTAGACTGGGGGAGGTAGCACCTAAACATGTAGAATAGGACTGAATTACTAAGCATGGCATTGTCTGATGACCTAAACTGACCACGTCATTCATTTCCAGAGGCAAGGACTAATAATTTTCCTGCACTAGCATCTATGCTAGTAGTGCAAGTCTCCTAACATGCCCAGGAAGAGAGCCATTGCCCAGTGGTCTACAACTCCTCTCCATCCCCTGCTCAAGCGCATCACTGCATGTTCCTCCCAAAAAGTCCAGAATGCCTGCAAATTGCTGTAATTTTTTACCATGTTCTAATCAATAAATAGAATTATTTCTTACACTCTCAATCATTTCTTCCATGAGTCTATTGGTCAAGAGAGGTAAGCAGTAATCATTACCTCTTACCTTAAGAAGGTTAGTCCATACATTTGGCATCTGGTTACTAGTGCTTCCTTTGTGCCAGGCACTGCGCCAAGCAGTGACACCTCCCCGTGGGCCCCAAAGCGTCCTAAGCAACACCCAGTTCAAATGCAAATATTATGAGCATAGGCAAATGCAACTTCAAGACGACATCCGTCACAGCACCTCCCTTCTGGCACGATTGCCACCCCCAAGTTCTTGTAAGGTGGAAAGCCTGGCGCCCATGGAATGGCTGGGGATACAGAAATGCAAAGGTGGACAGGTCCTCCTGCTGAGGGACTTGGAGTGCAGGTTTTGATTAAATGGCTTCATCCTGTAAACAGAAAATGATTACTTAAATTGAACACTAAGCATTTTGGTTTTCCTGTTTTATATCACATTACAAAGATTAAGAGCTAACAGTAACATTCTTGGAAGGAAAGCAGTTTGCTGAACTCCCATTATGTGCCAAGTGCTTCCCTGGGGGCTTTGTATACACTGCCTTACTTCATGCTCATGGCAGAGCACTCCTGAAGGTAAAGTCCTGGTTTTGTTGATGAGGACACTGAAGTTCAGAGAGGTAAGGGGAACTGCCTAAGGTAGCACCGATGACAGAAATTATAAAGAGCTTATACTCTTCCCATTCTATCAGAGAATTCTCCTTGCCCCAAGAAACTAGGGGTACCTCCCACAAATCTCATTCATCTGGAATCAGTTCAGAGAGGGTTGGGTATTTTTTGAACCCATCTAACAGACAAGGACACTGACAGAGAGAAGGGTCATCACCTCAGGTAGCCACAGATCAGAACAGCAGCAAGCCTCCACCATAGCTCAGCCACCATCCAGCCTCAGATGCAGCCTTTCCTAGTTGGAAATTGTAGGGGCTATACAGTTCCTCTATTTGAGCTTCCTCACCATGCAATCCCCTAAGGCTGCTGCACATGTTGCCAGTGCCCAGCTGAGGATCCACCTAGACCCAAGCAGAGGATCTGTACACATGCCCCTTCCTATGTGTACTCTGAACCTGTAGCGTGAGGCCGAGGCCAGTGGTTCTCTGCCCTGGCTGCATATTGGAGTCACGAAGGGGCGAGGTTGCCAGTACTTGTGGCTCACCCTAGAATGATCAAAATCAAATCTGTAATGAAGCCTGGGCACTGAAATTCTTTAGAAGCTGCCCAGGGAATTGCAATGTGCATACAAAGCGGAGAGGGGAAACGGACCACATGTGGCACTGGAAATGAAGCTCATGATCTGAGCCAACTCATGGCCACAGTGACTGGTTCAGAGATAAGCCCGAGACCTGACCCAGTTCAAATAGAAGGAATCTCAAAACTTATGCCAGGAATCATGGAACAAAGATATCCATGCTACTGGACATGAATGAGAAAACACATTGCCTTAAGACTTGCCGGCAAATATTTTGGAATCCTGAGAGTTTACAGGTTTTCCTAAAGGGCTAATAAATCAAAACATAGACAGAGAGTTAGAAAAATAACAGAAATCAAGTCCTTGGTGATATATATCATTGAGCTGCTGAATCAAACTGCACCTGAAGCTACACATCCCTCTGGTCTTTCTCAGATGTTTGTGTTTGATGCCTATATAGGGCCTAGGTTTCTTCTAGCTATCGCAACCACCTGGGAAGCAGAGACAGGGAGATTTTTTTTTTTGAAGTGCCAGCTTCCAGGGCTGTATCCCAGAAGAACTGAGCTGGAATCTTAGAGGAGGGGCCCTGAGCATGGATAGACTTTAAAGCTCCCTGGGTGACTCTAGTGTATGCCTAGAGCTGAGAACCTCTACTCTAGGACAGAGGTACCCTGCCCTCTGTGGTGTCCAGGTGTCAGGTCATAAACAAATATAAGCCCTGAGCACCCAACACTTAGAAGAAAATCAGCAGCTCTGATATCCAGCCAGAAACCAGAAAGGAAGGCAATTTTGAAACAGTCTTCAGACAAGTAACCAGAATAAAGGTAAATGGTTGTCTTGGTGGGTGTGTGGGGAAAGAACATGCAGGGAAGGGCATTGACTCCATTTCTAGCATTTCTGGCTTATCTTCCTGCTCCCCGGAATCATCCTACCAGTGACCAGGATTTGCCAGTCAACACGCCTGCGAATGGAGACTCAGCCACAAGGCACAGGCTATGGCTGCCTTGCCCACATCCCCATGGCATTTACCATCACCATGCAGGTGGATTCAACTTCTTCCAACTGTAAATGCCAGAGACTTTATTTGTGACTGACTCTCACAGAAAGAGCCTGGCTGTGAGGACCCCACTCTGCCTGTGGACAGGGCAGGCGGGAGAGTAGGGTCATCAGCATCGGCAAGAAGCAGTCCCTATGCCATGATTAAGAGAGCTAGAGGGGGCAGGGGATTTAGTTCAATGGTTCTGGCAACTGCCGCTCGAGCGCAAGGTCCCAAGTTCAATCTCTGGTACCAAAAAAAAGAGAAAAAAAAAAGAGAGAGAGAGCTAGCAGATCCCTCTGCTCTCAGTAGGAAGCACTCTGAGGTCTCTCCTAGACTGTCTCCCTGCCCTCTTCTGTGGGACTGAACCCCAACCACCCAGAGCAGTAACCTCTGATGAATAAGACAGAATAAATGCGTGACATGCAGGGGAGGGGCCAGGCTGGCTGGGGACTGCAACTTTAGACAGGGTGGTAAGGCTTCTCTGCTTACTTGAGTCTTTTTATGGTTTGGCTATGGCTAAACTGTGTGCCCCAAACATTTATGTGCTAGACATTTGGTCCTAGTGTGGTGATATTGGGAGGTGGCCAGAACTTTAAGAGTTGAGGTTCGGTGCTAGGTAATTAGATCACTAGGGGCACCACTCACAAGAGGAATTAATGAGCTCAGTTAGTTCTCCACACCGGGTTGTTATTAAAGAAAAGAATAGCCCCTTCCCACTCTCTCATTTCCTGCCTCACTGTGTACTCTCTCCCTCTCACATGTATTCCTACATGTCACAACATGGGAATTCCTGCCATGGTATTGAAATGTTGGGCCCATGGTGCCATCTGCCTGTGGACCTCCCCTGAAACTGAACCAGCGGGGTCACCCAATCTTGGACTGTCAGCCTCCAAAACTGTGAGCCAAATAAATTGCCTTTCTTCATAAAATATCCAGCCTCTGGCATTTTCTCACAGCAATAGAAAAGTGACTAATACAAATCTCATAGCAACATTGTGAGATAGATGTTCAAGGCACCTGTTTTACAGATGAAAAATAAAAAGTAATTCCCAGAGATATGGAGGGACTTGTTCACACAGCTGGAAAGAGCTTTAAAAATCTGTAAACTCCATGCCCAGCTTTGTTTCTTAGAAACTATAAAGACCATTCTGCACCTATTCCTAAAACTAACTCTAATGATATACAAACACCAGAAGGTGTTGGAAAGCAGCTGCCATAAAAAGCTACTAGTAAAAAGCAATGAAAACAAGCCCATGAATCCAAGCCCAATTACTCTTCCTGAAAGAGGAATGATGCCAAGGACATGTGCAAAGATGGCCATATGGGTGGGTTTCTCTTAAAGAAGCTGAGATAAATATATTCTTCCACATCAAAAGAAGGCCCAATTTAATTTCCAGACTTCAGCAAGCTCTGCACTCCAGGCTAGTACTTGACTGGGAACCAATAAAACTTAGAACTCAGAGTTGGAGGAAACCCTGGAGGTTGCCAACTCCACTGAGATGATTTTGAAGACCCATGGCATTATGGGGGAGCTGACTGTGTTCCCAGTTCTAGGACCAATGCACATGTACTAGGCCAAGCCAATATTACCTCCTGTGCCCCTGGCCACAGCGATAGACTCAGGAGTAGGCTGGACACCTAAGCTAATCCAAATAGCAGGAAGATTCTGGCTTTCACAGAGAATAATGCAACAAAGTTACTCATTTTCTAGGGGGCTGGGTGGAAAAGCACACAGCCCCACATCTACAGACAAGTACTTCATAACCTAAAGGAAAGCCAATGTACAGCTGAGCATAATATACCACAGATGTCCAGGCATAGAGATGAAAACAAAGGGTCTTGTCGATGTCATTGAACTGCTGGATCAAACTTCATCTGAAGCACCTTTATCGCCAGTGTTTTTGCTCACCTGCACCAACAAATATCAATAAATTCATTTTTCATTTTTTAAAGCAGTTTGAGTTGAACTTTCTGTAACTTCGACTTGGACATCTTACCCTATTCCTTCATATGGCAGATAAGGCAACAAACACCCACAATTACACAGCTGGGCAGTAGCAAAGCTCGGGCAAGAAACTCGGTGTAGCACCATATCTACCACACTACTCTGACCTACTTTGAAGAAGCCATAATATAATGGTACATATTATTTATTAAGCACTTACTGCATGCTAAATAATTCACATACATTTACCTCGTTCAATCCTCATTACTCTGGCTTTAGTTCTATTATAATTCCCACTTACTAATGAGAACTCAGAGCTCAAAAAGGTTACATAATGTAGTTGTGATCAGTTGTGTAGTAAAAAGCAGAGCAAAAAATTGAATCCAGGATTTCTCACTTTTTTCCTTAATCGATGACTCAGGAAATACCAAATTTAATGTGTATCCAGACCCAGGCAGGCTAAAGTAATGAGTTTCAAACCACAATGGACACACCCAGTATAAAGAAGGCATCCACGTCACAACACTAGGGATTCCAGTAATATTATTGGAAATGGGCCCGTTGTTATTGAATCTACTTTGAAGAAAAATTGAAAATCTGGACTCATATGTAAAATCTCCCAGTTTCATACTCTAGCAACTATTCAATATTCAAAACATACCAAGCCAACCAAGTATAAGACATGGATCTGGCCCAGGGGCCACCAACACACAAATTCTGTGATTTTTTTCCCCACTAACGAATGATTGTCATGTAGTAGTCTAATATACAGAACATCATGCTGCATCATGAGTATCAGTAGCTGAGGAATAGTAACCCATCCTAGTATTATATAATATATTAAGAGCTGCTAGCATTCCTGGCCAATTGGCTAGGGACAAATAAACTGTAGCTTGACATTAAGATGGGAGCTTTCAAAGTACAACTCAAGTGGGTCATTTAAAGGATATCTGATGAGCATCAATTTAACATCTTAAATGAAACAGAAAAATACTTTGAAAAAGCACAGCTTATCAGGATGAATACAATAACCATGAGCACATGGTGAAATAAGCCAGTCGCAAACAGATAATTACTTCATGATTCTGTGTACTTAGAGTACCAAGAGTCATTAAATTCACAGACAGAAAGTAGAAGGGTAGTTCTCAGGAGATGGGGAAAGGAAAAAACAGGAGTGGTGAGGCTAGCTTGTTTCTCTTTTCCTTTTTTATTTTTAGTTTATTTTTATTATTTTATTTTACTAAGCTCTATTGAGGTGAAATTGACAAAATTTGTAAATATTTAAGGTGTACAATGTGATGTGAGCATACATATATATATATATATATATTACATATACTATGTATATGTGGTTACCACAGTCTAGCTAACAAACACATCTATTACCTCACATGGTTACTGTGTAACATTTAAAATTTATACTCACCAAATTTAAAGAATGCAATAGTATTGTTAACTATAGTTGCTATGCTGTACATTAGATCTCCTACACTTGTTTTGCATAACTGAACTACTTTAACGTTTGACCAATATCTCCTCATTCACTCCACTCTCCAGGCTCTGGCAACCACCATTCTATCTTCTGCCCCTATGAGTTTGACACTTTTAGAATCCATATATAAGTGAGATCATGCAGTGTTTGTGTTTTTTGCCTGCTTTCTTCCATTTAATGGAATGTCTTTCACATTCATCCATCATTCATCCATGTTGTTACATATGACAAAATTTCCTTCATTTTAACACTGAATAACATTACTGGAGGTGTGGGTTTGGGTGTCTTTATCCATTCATCCACTTACAGACACATAGGTTGATTCCCTATCTCAGTTACTGTGAATAGTGCTGCAATGAATATGATAACACAGATGTCTCTTCAACATATTGATTTCATTTTATTTCAATTCTACCCAGAAGTAAAATTGCTAGATCATATGGTAGTAATATTCTTAATTTTTTGAGGACCCTCCATACTGTTTTCCACAGTTGTGTTAACTTACATTTCCATCAATGGTGTGCGAGAATTCCCTTTTCTACATATCTTGCCAACACTTCCTATTTTTTGCCTTTTCTATGATAGCCAAGATAACAGGTGTAAAGTGATATTACACTGTGGTTTAGATTTGCATTTCTCTGTGATTAATGATACTGAGTATTTTTTCATATACATATTGGTCATTTAGATTTTTTTTTTGAGAATGTCTATTCAGGTTCTTTTTATAATTGGGTTGTTTTCTTGCTACTAGGCTGTTAAGTTCTTCAAACATTTTGTATATTTACTCATTACCAAGTATATGGTTTGAAAATATTTTCTCCGATTCTGTAGGTTCTCTTTGCTATTGATTATTTCATTTGAGTGCAAAGGCTTGTCAGTGTGGCACAATCCTACTCATCTATTTTTCTTTTGTTAGCTGTGCTTCTGAGTTAGATCCAAAAATAAAGCTGCCCAGATCAGGGTCAAGAAGGTTTCCTCTGTTTTCATCTCCTAATTGTACAGGTTTAGGTTTTATATTTAAGTCTTTAATGCATTATGAATTGATTTTTATATGTTGTGAAATACATGTTCAATTTCATTATTCTACCTGTGGTAATATAGTTTTCCCAGCACCATTTGCTAAAGAGGTGAGAAACCATTGTGTTCTTGGTGCACTTGCTGAAGATCAATTGTCCATAAATGCAGTCAGTAAATGCAGACAGAACAAGCCATTGTTTTATAATGGGTGTAGACTTTCAATTTTTCAACATGAACAGAGTTCTGGAAACTGGTTGCATAACAATGTGAATGTTCTTAGCACTACTTATCCATACCCTTAAAATGGTTAAGAAAATAGAGCCAGGCAGTGTGATGCCTGCCTGTAGTCTCAGCTACCCAGGAGGCTGAGTCAAAAGTATTGCTGAGCCAAGGATTTGGGGGCCAGCCTGGGCAACACAGCAAGGTCTTGTCTCAAAACAAATGTTAATAATAAATATTGTATGTATTTTACCACAACTAAGAATTTAAACAATCAAAAATGTTAACATAAGAAATAAAAAGCAAATTCCAGGTCCAGATGATTTCATTGATGAATTCCAGCCAGTATATAAAGCAAAATAAGACCAATCCTCCATAAACTCTTCATGAAATAGAAGAGGATAAATACTCTTCATATCATTTTATCATTTTTTTTTTTTGGTACCAGGGATCGAACTCCGGACCTTGCGCTTGCGAGGCAGGCACCGGAACCATTGAGCTAAATCCCCGGCCTCTCCATAACATTTTTATGAGGCCAGCATTTTCCTGATACTAAACTCAGGATATTAGGAAAAAATAAACTTGAAGACCAATGTACCTCATGAACATGAATGTAGATGCAATAATATTTGTAAATAAAATATAATGATATTAAAAATACATGCTATACCATGACTAAGTAGGTTTTACCCCAAGAATGCAAAGTTAGTTTAACATTACTATTTATTTGAGTACATTAGCAGAATAAAGGAAAAAAACAATATAATCATCTCAATTTGAAGATGCCAAAAGTGCAGTTGAAAAATCCAAAATTCTCTAATGATAAGTACTATCCACAAATTAGGAAGGCAAGAGAAGTCCCATAATCTGATAAAGGTCATGTATCAAAAAACCTAAAGTTAATATTGTCTTTAGTGACGAAAGACTGAATGCTTCCCACTTTCCTCCTAAGAGGAGGAATTACATAGAGTCCTTTTTGTGTGTGTGGTTCTGGGGATTGAACTCCTGACCTTCACACTGAGCTACATCCCAGCCCGTTTTGAATTTATACTTTTATTTGTATTTTTGATACGGTTCTCACTAAGGCACTAAATTGCCCAGGCTGAGCTTGAACTTGGGAAACTCCCACTTCAGCCTCCTGAGTGCTAGGATTACAGATGGCACACAAGCCTAGAAGTCCATCCACTCTGCTTAATTCTATTTACCAGGGTACTGGAGATTCTGGCCACTACCCTCAGGCAAGAAAGAAGAAACAAAAGATGTTCCGATTAGGAAGGATGCAGTAAAACTATCTTTATTCTCAGATAACATGATCATCTGTGTATAAAGTCCAGTGGAGTCTACCTTCAAAAGAAAGATTCATTATTTGTACCTATGTATCGGTCACAGTGTGATATTTCAACATATGTATTCACTGTGCACGCATTAAGTCAGAGTGATTAATATTTCTATCTTCTCATCGTTTCAAAACAGCTGCTCTCTGAAAGACATTAAAAGAATGAAAAGACAAACTAAATGAGGGGGGAAATGTAGAGCATAAATTTGATACAGAACTTGTATCCAGATTATACGAAGAATTCCCAGAACTCAAGAAAAAAACTTAATTTTAAAGTGAGCAAAAAATAACGCTTGAATAATGCTTCATCAGCCTGAGAAGCTGTGATAAAGGACAGATGCATACTGGAAGGCAGCTGCAGGGAGAGAGGGCGCCCACAGGGCCCCAGAGAGGGGACCGCTGGCGAGGGCCGGTTGAGACGAACCTCAGCCAACCAGAGCAGCGGCGGCCCGAGAAGGGCCTCGCCAAAAGCAGGAGGCGTGCATGCACCAAGGAACTGATGACCAGGAGGACCCAGTGAGAGAGTCTCCAGTGCCTACAGAGGATGTGGCGACTGATTGGAGGTGAAGGTAGGAAACGCAGGCGACAGATGTAACTGCGAAGAGCCCCGACGTCCACCCGCGTGTGAACGGCGGGTGCTGTTCGCGCTTCTGCCGCTAGATGGCGAGAGCGCCCCGCCGAAAGCTCGGGATAGAGCGCGCTGGTCTCGGCCTGGCCAGGACAAGAGGCCCGCGCACCCGCCTGCAGCGTCGGCGCCTGCTTCGGGCAGTGCGACCCAGGACCACACAGGACCCCGTGCTGCCAAGGGCCCGGAGCTTAGTTCCCGCTCTGCTATCACCGCCTCGAAATTCACAGTAATTTGGGAACGAGTTTACCCATCTTTTCGTTGCTGGGGCCTATCCCTCCCGCGCCGCAGTGAAATGAGGATATCCCACTTTGCGGACCGAGAAGTGAGGCTGTCAGATCGGGCTCCGGTCGCCGGTGGAAGTGGCCGTGTAGCGACATCGTGACCCAAGCGCCAAGCTCTTCCTGCCCACATAAGAGGAAGCCTGGGCAAACTGCCTCGAAACGCAGACCGAGGCCTCCGGCCAGGCCCGTCGGGAGCCGCCTCCAGGCCCACAGTCCTTGGGTGTAGCTGGGCTCGGACAGCGGCCACGAGTGTGCATGCGGCCCTTGTCACTGAGTCCCGGGACGGGCTGGGGCAGGGTCAAGTGACAGAGCTGTTCTCAGAGTCTCGATTTCAGCTCCAGCTCGGGATAGAAAAATTCTCCCCCCTTTCCCAGCGGCATGCTCCGGGGCAGTTGGCCTCCCTGAGCCTTGCTTTCATCAGAAGTAAACAAAGGATAATCTTCTCTGGGCAGCTCAAGGAGGAATGAATACCTCAAGGGCCTGGCAAGTTGCAGGTACTCAGTAAATACCCCTTTACTTGCTTCTGGGTTTTGTCACCAGGGCAGCTCTGCTGTCTGTTCTGGAATCTTCCCTCAGGGTAGGGGGCAGAGGTCCCCAGCAAGGGGGCGGGTGTTACCGAGTTGGGAAACTAGGAGAAATGTGGCCCAATGGGCCTGACCAGCCACCTCCGGGGCTGACTGGGGCTGGAGGGGAGCTGGTGGGGCTGTGGGGAACCCAAGCTGACAGGCAGCTGCCAGACCTCAGGGTAGAGAACAATAAAAAGTAACACTTGTTCCACCCCATCTGGTCCGAGGGCCCTGGGCTGGTTTCAGAGTCCTCTCTTCAGGCACCCCTGAGAAGCCTTGGGGGCTTACCCAGGGTCAGGAGGGTGACACGGGAACTGCGCCAGCCTCCTGTGTGCAACTTGGTGTTGACCTTGGCATTGCAGAGTGCGATTTCTTGTCCCACAGCATAAAACAAAGGATCTGGAAAAGAAAAACATACCTCCTTGTTCCTCCATCTGCCAGACCCACGAAGCTCTAAGTGGTTCCCTGATTGCAGGCCCCTATGCTCCCCAGAGTGTGGTCCCTGTACTGAATCAGGATGGAAAGTGTCCTAGAGCCATTAGAGTCAGAGGCCTGGACTCCAGTCCCTCTTTGCCTTGTGTTTGCCGTGTGTCCCCAGGGAAATGACTCTACCTCGCTGAGTCTCTCAACTATAATAGGAATGAAGTACAGTACTTAGCTCGCAGGACCACAATGGTGTGGGGGAAAGCATGTAGGTTTTACAGTCAGTCCAGCGGGGATAAGATTCCATTTCTATTAGCTGTGTGATCTTAAATGTCTTCACCTCTCTAAGCCTCGATTTCCTCATCTTAAAATGGGGATGTGAAGTCTAAGGTTGTCCAGAGAGACTCAATAGTGTTCATCTTCCCAGCAGAGAAGGAGGCTGAGGGAGGCCGGGGCTGCTTTCCACCGCAGAGGCCACCCTGGGTCCCGTGCTTGTGCCTACTCAGCATCCCTGAGCCCAAGCCCCGGGCAGATCTGGCGCCCACGGAGCCCTGGTGCTGAGTCATTTCTGCAGTTGCGGCGCAGCCTTTGGGGCCTGAGAGCCGGTGCTGCGCATGCGCCGGTGACATGGGCGGGAGGGTGTGGGGAGACTGGGCTACTTGAAGCTTGATCTGAAAGAGGGCATAGCTCCCTCGCATGATCTCAAAACCTGAGAGAGGCTCATCCGCCCCCAGCCCTGCACAATGGCCTGACAGCAAAACACCTAGAAAACCCCAAATCTTAGCGGTGAGGCCAGCTCTGGGGTGGTGGGGTTGCTGAGATGAGGAGTGGATCTGTCAGGTTGCTGGGCTTCCTGTCATCGCTCCTCCTCAGGGAGGGAGAAGGGGTCAGACCTGCCTTCCTCTGCCCCTGTCCTCACCTGGCGCTGAGGTGAGGCCTCCGGTAAAGCCCTTTGGGAAGTCCCTAGCACTCGATTATTAAAAACAAAATTATTATTATAATAATGTAGTCACACACACTGCTTAACCATGAGGACACACTCAGCTCGGGGACACAACTTGGATTTAGGCTGTGTGAACTTCGTAGGTCGCATTTACTCAAACCGAAATGGTCTGGGTTGATCACTCCATGGGACTTCTTGATAGGTGACACTGTTTTGCAGCCAACTGATTTTTTTTATTCGTTAAGTTTATTGGTACCTTTTAGGGATTCATTATGATCACATTCATCATAGGGAATTTGTACCTGCATGATGTATCTTGGTTCTTGTTTTTCCCCATTCCCTTGCCCTCCCTTCTACCCCGCTGCACCCCTCCCTATTTACAAAGACTTTGTTTCTGTTTTTTCCTTTTTTTCTTATATTTTTTCTTTCCCTTCTTTCCTTTTCCCTACCCCCCCCTCCCTACTTCCCCTTCCCCTTTGGACCTTTTCTTCCTATTTCACATTATCTATTATACATTTTGGTCCTCATTTACACTTTCAGTTTCTCACACTAGAGAAATTATTCGGTGTTTACACGTGTGTTTTATTTATTTCACTTAAGAGTATCACCTCAATGTGCATCCATTTAGCTATAAATGTCTCTAGTTTCTCATTCTTTACAGCTGAGTAGTACTCCATTTTATTTTTAAAAACACACACATCTTTATCCAGTCACTACCAGCTGAGTTTTTTTTAGTAAGTAGAAGGAACACATTCTAAATTAACTAAGTAGAGTGTGGTAAATGCATAAGACAGTAACATAGTCATTTCTTACTATTTTGTAAGTGTATTTTGTAGGATATGTAATTATATGTGCTTGATACTTTATAGAACTTTGCACTAGCATCTCCATATACAAGAAGGATGCAACACTCTGACTTTACTGAGTTATAGGAAATTTTCTTTCGGCCCCATCACAATCGGTGACAGAAACATTGCTGTGTGGCACCTGACTGTAGTGTTGATGTTGGTTCTATTCTTTTGTGCGCTGTGAGAAGAATCCCACGTGGTCTGTGTAATAAGATCCCACTGCTTAGTCAGGCTGCGGCAGCCCCTCTGGCCTCCTCCTCACTTCCTGCCAACTGCATCTATCCGGTTGTCTTTCGTAGGATTCTACCTTCAGCGGAACTGAACTATCCGAAGTGCCTTTGGTGCCTGTCACATTTCCTCCTCTTATGCTGTAGCAGTCACTGTGGCTTCTTCCTGGAATATTATTTCCACTTTGTCCAGGAGCAAACCTCAAATCACCCTCGAAGACCCCATAGAATTGTCACCACTTTGAGAAAACTTCCCGCCCTTGAGTGTGGCTGACTTGTCCTTCCACTGGGTCTCTGCTGCACAGTGTACTCCTGCATCCAAGTGAGCATCTGTTCTACTCTTCCTGAGTCTGTGTCTCAGGGCCCCAAAGCCCCTTGAGGTCAAAGTCCCCATCATGTCCGTCTCCTCAGCACATGCACAGCCCTTCACACAGCATCTGCTGAATGACCACATCTCTCACCCACATTCCTGAGGTTTTAACAACACGGAGCAGTGCACTTACCTGGGACGTCACTGCAGCTCGCCTAAATGGCCAGTACCTGGGGACTTTCCTTCCCCCAGGTTGGCAGTTGGACCTTCCTGGGTGCCAGGCTTCTCCCCAGATTTCCGTTCCTGAACACTGAAGACCAGAAGCAGGTCTTTCAAATCATCCAGGAGAGCTTCCACTTCCTGCTGGCTGTGGTTCCGGATCCTGCCCATGGTTCTTTATGGGATTCCTGGATTACTACCAGGCGCAAGCTGGATGGAGATTGACAACCCTACCCCCTGCCTGGTCCCTTTCCTGAAATCAGGTCATTCCAACATGATCAGGGAGGGGAGAGAAGGAGGGACTCAATTATAACCAACCCTTGTTTCCTGAGCACATCAGCCCAGACCTGAAGGTGGAGGCAATAGTCTGAAGATTCTCTAGACTGTTCTAGGAGACAAACTACAGAGAACGTCCCACCACCCTATTTTAGACCTGCTTGTTTTTTGTTGAATGACTTCTGGTGGCCTCCTGTAGAAAGTAGAAGGGGATCAAGAACTAATATTTACTGAGCACCTACTATGTGCTAACCCTGTGCCAGACACTTCAGATACTTCAGTGTGAATTTGCCTACACCACAGGACTTCACCCTAAAATCCAACAAGTCTTATTGCAGACCATGGTATCACCTGATGGTTAAGAGGGCCAGCTTTGGTGCCAACTCTGCCTCTTACCTTTAGAATCTTGGGCAAGTGACTTAAACTCTCCGTGTGTCAGTTTCCTTGTCTGTAAGATGGGAATGTCGCTCTGCTGCCCTACACTCCAGACCCTCTTCAGAAGGCCCTGCCTCATCACTTGCCGTCTCGGAGTGGGAGGTAATGGTACTCATGTGACCACTCTACTTCATCCCAGGGGGCAGCAAGCCAGGATGGATGCTGCTGGGGCCACAAAGCCTCCAGGCTGAGAATGAGCATGAACAGGTTATAGCTCCAGCCCACACTGCCTGACACTGCACCCTTCTAATGAGCAGCTTTTGCTTGTTGGAGTTTTCTCCTGCTGCCTGTCTGAGGGTTGCTCTGCAGTGCACCACAGCTGCTGCCCTGTCTACCCAGCAGGAAAGTCACTTTCCTTCCCTCCTCCACCCTCCCCCTTTATCATTCCCAGCTTTCCTGCCCCACAAACCTCTGACTCCCATCATGACAACATTCTTGCAGGATCCAACTGGAGCACAGGAAGCAGTGTCAGTCCCTACTTCATGCATATAGCTGTGAGGAGCTGCACACCTGCTCGGAACACAGAATGAGTGGAGCCAAAGTGCTAGAGCTACATCTGTCACCCGCTGTGGCAGATCTGTGGGCTGGCTGGGACCTAACAGAGTGCAGCCTTAGTCAGAGGGGCTGTTTCTCACTCCCTACAAGCCAGTTTCAGCAAGGCTACCAGAATCACCTCCCTCAAATGCAAGAGTTTGGGACAGTCCAAGGATTTGTTCAAGGATTAGCTCCCACCTCGGCTCAAAGAAACATTGAGACCACTGCTAAACCCGAGTCTGGTCTGGCTGCCCTGCTGGGGTGTGAGGTCCTCACCAGTGGGTGAGGGGGCCGATGTGCCCAATCTCTGAGGTCCCTCCAAACCGCAGCATTCTAAGGCAAGGATCTTGTCAGGCTCCCTCTGTGGCCTCAGATGCAGCCAGCCACCTTCCCTCCCCGAGTTGTATCTTTCCTGGCCACCTGCTCCATTCTGTCCTGCTTATGGAAAGGCCACAGGCCAGGTGGGCTGGGCTCGGTCACCTAAGGATGACAGTTCACAGACTGAGGGGCAGGGGCAGGAATGAGGATTTGTAGCGGGAGTAGTGAGCCATTCCCACCTGCTGGAGCCTTGTCATTTCCCTGCCAAGCACCTGGGAAAGCATCCGCATTTTGATGGAGGGCAGCCCTTCCGTCCCTCAGGTTTCCCCCGAAGTCAGCATCCCTGATCCATGGGGAGGCTTGGACTGGACTTGACACAAAGTTTCCTTCCCAGTGGCATTTCCTGACATTGTCACTCCTGCGTTGAACTGCCGAAGAGAGGGGCTTTATCTTCACTTCGCCAAATTTGATTTCCCCTGCATGGGACAGCTTGCTCTGGATAACTGTGCTAAGTTTCAGCAACCCAACTCCTCTCTTTATGTCTGAGAAGACACCTGCCTTGGATTACCTGCCCAGGTGGGCCACCCTGCATGCCTTCCTGGGCCCTCTGCTATCACCCTGTCACCTCTAGCCAAAAGCATCCACCACAACAGCATCCCTCAGTTGTGACTTGGGCCATCTCTCTGCCTCCTGGCTCCTATCTTCCAGCCTCTACCACTGAAGGCTCTTGTCTGCCAATTCCTGCAAAACTGCTGGCCATGAAAATGGCAGTGTGGATTATTTCTGAAAATGTTTAACTCCCAGAAAACGTAAGAAAATTCTAGATGGCTTATCATGTGGGAGAAATCTGTCTCCACTTTTTTCTAGTAAAAGTTTTTCTAGTAAAACTTCCTTTTAAGAAAGGAAGTTTCTTTTCAGTGATAAATGTGATAAGAGCAGCTATGAATCTTTCTTTATTGTGGCCATAGGAGATGATCATATGCAAATACCCAGCTCACAAGAGGGAGTGATTGAAGGGAGACCCGTTGTCTGCATGTTAGCAATGTGACTTGAAAATTTCCAGGGCAGTTTGGGATGTTGGCAATGAAGAACTTGAACTTGGATTTAGGCTTTAGAGATTACCACACAATTTCTTAGGATGGCTCTTAAAATATGCCCAAACACAGATACAGTGAATAGCTCTTCAGCCCAAGTCCCCCTTCTATTTAGGCCATGACTTACAGGCACTAGAAGAGGGAAAGGGAATGAGGACATAATGGGCTTTTCAGGCCGACCTGGTATTGAACTCTGACTCACTGTGTGCCAGCTGAGATGTGGGGAAGGTGCTTACCTCCCTTAACCTGCTTCCTCCTGGGCTGTGAAATGAAAATAGACACTTGCCTTCCAGGGTTCTCAGGAAAGTGAATGAAGAAACAAAGTAAGCACTGAGGAGGCAGTCTGACACCCAGAAGCCCCCAAGAAATTTGCTTCCTGCCACCTCCCATCATTCCATCTCTCATTTTGGAACCTGGAGGCGCTGCCTAGCCACTCTTTGCCCAGATCCCAGCTGGCTTCTAGGCAGACCCACAGGATTCAAGGCCCTGGTAACAACTGAGGACTTTGGAGTCCTTTCCCTCTTGAAGTTCTATCCCTGCCCTCTGTGTGTATATTGACCCATCTAACCTTCCCTATGGCCCTCAAGGGAGGGATAACTTTATGGAATCCTTACCTTGGAAGAGGTGAACGCACCTGCTCCACATCCAAAGTGGAGTGAGCTGGCTGGTGGTGCAGCCAGCACTGGGACCCTGCCCTCTGCCATTCTGCCCCCTGAGCCATGGGACAGTAGGGATTAGACCTCCAAACTCTATCATTCTGCACAGAAGTAGCTACGCAGAGGAGGGGAGTCTAACAGGATCCAGTGAAGAGTGGAAGCCAGCTGTCTCTGTGAGTCAGAGAGAGACTAGAACTGGGGTGACTTAGCAGAGAACTGTCTCAGAAAAAGCTGTTCTTTTAGAATAGTTTGGTGCTAAATGGAAGGGTCAAAGACTCAAATAATTACTTGCGTTTGTTGTGTATCTTCACAGGCACCCTCTGAAGTAAGCCT